GGGGGGGGGGGGGGGGAGTCTGACGGACAAAATTATCTCAGTGTACAGTGGTGAAGGATGTATAAAAGATGGTGAAATGCATAACGTCTGTCAGCAAGCAACCTTTTGATCTCTGATACACGGCGTGTTTCCTTTTTCTGCGAACACGCACTCGGGCGGAACAGCCTGGCCTTCCCGTCAAGGCCGGCCGCCCCACCGCGCGGAGTTCACTGATACTTTCGGAAATATCTTATAGAGAATATTCACGTGAACTTTGGTATCTGGGAGCTATTGACCCCCTATCCTTTATTTTTTTCTTTGTATGATATTTTTTACCTTACACAGGAGTAAGTATGGATACCATACGGGTTATCACGTGACTGTTTTCATGGTTTTCCATAGTCCCTACGGAAGACTTCAGATATACCTTAAATTCATTCCATATCCTTTACAATTTATTAGTCATCAACCAACGACGCTGTATAATCTGAGCTACCTAAAGCGTTATTAAGTAAACCATAAATAAGAAAGATAAATGCGCAGATTGATAAAAAAAAATAGGCGTAATTAACACGGATTTGAAGCAGATTTAACGTATTTGAGTCAAGTAAGAAGTCTGATCTGCCTCTTAGTTTACAAAACCGACAGCTGCAGTATTTGTTTTGTTCTCTTGCAGATTCGACTCGTCTGCTATTCGCGACTTGGTGGATCTTCATTACGATTCTTACGTCGTTCTACACGGCCAACCTAACAGCTTTCCTCACCCTGTCCCGTTTTACCCTGCCTATAGATGGCCCCAAAGATCTGGCGAAGAATAAGGCTGGATGGATAGCGCACAGGGGATCTCCTTTGGAGTACGTAGTCCAGGTGAATGTCGCCATTTTTATTTGTTTGAATCGGATAGGAGAGGATGAATAACATTATAAATACAGAAATGTTTATTAATATTGGTTAGAAAACTCCCATCGATTTTTTTTTTAATTTTACGAGAGCCAAATATGTAACTGTGACATTATAACTAGAAACAAATTGAACGAGCTTCTAACTACGGTAGCAGAATCCGAAGTTTCAAGAACGTCAAAAGTAATCCCTGCTTTTGGGCACTACATTGAGCTCTTAACCTCAACACTAAATTCCCAAAGATCCATCCAATGTTACATTCCAATTTCATCCTCAGTATCTAAAGGTTTTCAACACAAGTATTATTACTCATTGACATTTAAGTTTCTCACGACTCTGGATATGACAGTGTTGGTCTTCTGGGTGGTAACGCCTTCTGGACGTGCAGGTAGATAGAATTTGAGGTTATGACGGCGGTGCGTACAGATATGGCGGTCTTGTGGGTTGTAGCACCGGTGACGTCTCAGAAATTTACCGCTTTGTAGATGGAGGAAACAAGGAACTCTGAAACGTCGGTAAACTTCTACCAGATTAAACCAAGAAGCCAGCCATCTTCGTGTAGGTAGGTATTTTACCAGCATCTACTCAGAAGACCGACATCTACATATTTACGCGTTCCTTGTCATGTCCATTTAATCTACATGCCCAGCTCATCGTAGTCTAGACTTTACGATACAAACAATTCCTACTACGTGGCCCGTAGATCACAGTGTCTTTCCAATGTTTAATTTCTTGTTATTCTAGATCATCTTCTCATTTCATTCGATACCTTACAATTTCACATATCGAAACTAACTTAATAAGAACATTTGACTAGAAGTAAGCGTTACATAGATATTTATAATTATTACTGCGATTCCCGACATGGACACCGATTTTGTTGTCCCGCACAACAACCAGACCGGCTATACGTCACTGTCTCCTACCCATTGGACCGAGGGGTGGGATAATGCGGCCGGAGCGTGAAATTTATCCTCTCACCATCTAATGTCTAATGTCTGACCGTCTTCTTGGCTTGATATTTGAGCACACAAAGAAATTTACCTTTTAACATTTTACTGCCCTCTTTGTGAGGAAATTAGAAAGCTACAATGGTTAGCGTAATCCGGTCAGGAAAGCTGACCGCACGTCACCCTAGATCTGGTTGGATGATCGTTCACCTCTGCTTAGGCATGTGAACGTGAGACAGCAGCCAGCTAGTCGGCTTTGGCTCTCTGGAGCTATTACACCGCGATGATGTACGTGGAAAGGAACTAATAGGATACGGGTCGAATCATACAGAATGTACCATTTAAAACGTAATCCACCAACGATCATGTATTACAGTACAAAAATTAAATGAGAATCAGATCCACGCACACGTAATAGACTCTCCTAATCTCCTCCTCGACACTCCTGTCAAAGGTAACCCATGTTACTAGGCCGCTGATCACGACGCAGAAACTACGCAAATTACAACATGGCGTACTTACAAGCACAACTTGTGTTCGTTATTGAACAGCACGGGCGGGGGGGGGGGGGGGGGGAGTCTGACGGACAAAATTATCTCAGTGTACAGTGGTGAAGGATGTATAAAAGATGGTGAAATGCATAACGTCTGTCAGCAAGCAACCTTTTGATCTCTGATACACGGCGTGTTTCCTTTTTCTGCGAACACGCACTCGGGCGGAACAGCCTGGCCTTCCCGTCAAGGCCGGCCGCCCCACCGCGCGGAGTTCACTGATACTTTCGGAAATATCTTATAGAGAATATTCACGTGAACTTTGGTATCTGGGAGCTATTGACCCCCTATCCTTTATTTTTTTCTTTGTATGATATTTTTTACCTTACACAGGAGTAAGTATGGATACCATACGGGTTATCACGTGACTGTTTTCATGGTTTTCCATAGTCCCTACGGAAGACTTCAGATATACCTTAAATTCATTCCATATCCTTTACAATTTATTAGTCATCAACCAACGACGCTGTATAATCTGAGCTACCTAAAGCGTTATTAAGTAAACCATAAATAAGAAAGATAAATGCGCAGATTGATAAAAAAAAATAGGCGTAATTAACACGGATTTGAAGCAGATTTAACGTATTTGAGTCAAGTAAGAAGTCTGATCTGCCTCTTAGTTTACAAAACCGACAGCTGCAGTATTTGTTTTGTTCTCTTGCAGATTCGACTCGTCTGCTATTCGCGACTTGGTGGATCTTCATTACGATTCTTACGTCGTTCTACACGGCCAACCTAACAGCTTTCCTCACCCTGTCCCGTTTTACCCTGCCTATAGATGGCCCCAAAGATCTGGCGAAGAATAAGGCTGGATGGATAGCGCACAGGGGATCTCCTTTGGAGTACGTAGTCCAGGTGAATGTCGCCATTTTTATTTGTTTGAATCGGATAGGAGAGGATGAATAACATTATAAATACAGAAATGTTTATTAATATTGGTTAGAAAACTCCCATCGATTTTTTTTTTAATTTTACGAGAGCCAAATATGTAACTGTGACATTATAACTAGAAACAAATTGAACGAGCTTCTAACTACGGTAGCAGAATCCGAAGTTTCAAGAACGTCAAAAGTAATCCCTGCTTTTGGGCACTACATTGAGCTCTTAACCTCAACACTAAATTCCCAAAGATCCATCCAATGTTACATTCCAATTTCATCCTCAGTATCTAAAGGTTTTCAACACAAGTATTATTACTCATTGACATTTAAGTTTCTCACGACTCTGGATATGACAGTGTTGGTCTTCTGGGTGGTAACGCCTTCTGGACGTGCAGGTAGATAGAATTTGAGGTTATGACGGCGGTGCGTACAGATATGGCGGTCTTGTGGGTTGTAGCACCGGTGACGTCTCAGAAATTTACCGCTTTGTAGATGGAGGAAACAAGGAACTCTGAAACGTCGGTAAACTTCTACCAGATTAAACCAAGAAGCCAGCCATCTTCGTGTAGGTAGGTATTTTACCAGCATCTACTCAGAAGACCGACATCTACATATTTACGCGTTCCTTGTCATGTCCATTTAATCTACATGCCCAGCTCATCGTAGTCTAGACTTTACGATACAAACAATTCCTACTACGTGGCCCGTAGATCACAGTGTCTTTCCAATGTTTAATTTCTTGTTATTCTAGATCATCTTCTCATTTCATTCGATACCTTACAATTTCACATATCGAAACTAACTTAATAAGAACATTTGACTAGAAGTAAGCGTTACATAGATATTTATAATTATTACTGCGATTCCCGACATGGACACCGATTTTGTTGTCCCGCACAACAACCAGACCGGCTATACGTCACTGTCTCCTACCCATTGGACCGAGGGGTGGGATAATGCGGCCGGAGCGTGAAATTTATCCTCTCACCATCTAATGTCTAATGTCTGACCGTCTTCTTGGCTTGATATTTGAGCACACAAAGAAATTTACCTTTTAACATTTTACTGCCCTCTTTGTGAGGAAATTAGAAAGCTACAATGGTTAGCGTAATCCGGTCAGGAAAGCTGACCGCACGTCACCCTAGATCTGGTTGGATGATCGTTCACCTCTGCTTAGGCATGTGAACGTGAGACAGCAGCCAGCTAGTCGGCTTTGGCTCTCTGGAGCTATTACACCGCGATGATGTACGTGGAAAGGAACTAATAGGATACGGGTCGAATCATACAGAATGTACCATTTAAAACGTAATCCACCAACGATCATGTATTACAGTACAAAAATTAAATGAGAATCAGATCCACGCACACGTAATAGACTCTCCTAATCTCCTCCTCGACACTCCTGTCAAAGGTAACCCATGTTACTAGGCCGCTGATCACGACGCAGAAACTACGCAAATTACAACATGGCGTACTTACAAGCACAACTTGTGTTCGTTATTGAACATTACTTCGCATCGAAATCGTTTGCTGATGTTTATGAAACATGAAGCAATGCGTTTTGACAAAGAAGTACTGAATAAGACATCGATACATCGACTGGTATCAAAACGTGGGGACACAGGAAATATTAGCTTATCATGAAGAATCCCGCTGCATGGATTTTAATTTTTAAAACGCATCGATGTCACTATGTTTTTTTTCTTTTTCATTGTCACTACGTACATACGGGTCACGTGTAGCTCGCATGTTAATATTGATCGCGTTGGTTTTGTTTTACAATACCTTTGTCTGCATATGTTAGCTTTTGTGTCGTTTTGGTGTATGAGAAAATGAGTTTTCCGATGTCTAATAATGGAAACATTTCCTTTCTACAGGACTAGTGCGGTTTTCTTATCTATCGCCAATAATCCTGTGCTAGGACGCGTGAATGTTGCTCGTAACGTTCCGCTATTCAACTGTCACAGTTCGAAGGCCAGGCATTATGATTTTCTGGATATGTGGCAGTGTTTTGTTTTAGATTAGTTTCTGTCCTGGCCACATGTATCGCTTCATACTTCAAAGAGCGTGTGATAGACATACGGTGACGGAGAAGCCGCGCTTAATCAAATAGAAAGAAAAAATAGATTCCTAATCGGCAATTAATACTTCATTTATCTTAAGAATCAAGTTGTAGAAACATGTAATTTAGATTTGCGTTTGAGAAGGTACATGTTCGAACCTCAGTACAAATTACTAAATTTTTTTTGGAGGTTCTGAATTTCCCAACTCGACTGGAGGTTTATTAATTTGAAGTAGGCCACGACAATTACATTTCACCGAAAATGTCGGCCGAATGTTTAAGATTTCTTTGCCTCAGGTACCGGGATCAAATCTCGGTACAGAAATAGGTTTTCCTGACATATTTTCGTAGCTCTTCTCTGTACCCCCAGGAGAATGTGGGGTTAATATCTTCAATAGGCCATGACCATACATTAATCATCCTATAACTGGACGCTTTATAGTCTGAGCTACGCACAGCGTCGTTAAGTAGAACTTAAATAAATAGTTTTGAATCGAAACCCAAACGGCAGTGTTCCGCAACCTGTGTGCCGCGAATTTTTGTAATAAATTATATATTCTTATGTTGTATTTAGAAAAATTTAAATATTTTATATTTCTTAGTCATAATTCGTAACACACACACGCATTGGTTTATTATCGATACTTTTATTAAACACGTGTTACGTTTTGTTTCCATGTGCCTGCATTCTTATAGGGCAGGGATTTATATATATATTTTTGTACCACCTTTTTTTGAGGTGAAATTTTGTGGTTTGCCGTCATGTGTCTTTGACAGATTAGGGTGCTCCGAGCTACTTTTATTTCCCATATTGATCGTTTCAACGTGTACATGTGTCATTATCCTCGCAAGGGGCCATTACAATATGTTTATCGGTTTCCGAAGACCCGAGGCATTAACTTCACATCTTTCCTTTGTCCTTGTCTTCTATAACACAAAATCCAACAATTTGACCCAACCTACAGACGATTCAGTCCAGCTGACATAAATTCCATGGAGTGCAGTTATTGAAAAAGTTTTGTAAATATATTGTCTTTTGTAGCTCAAAGGTTATTAGCGTGTTTACAAGAACCAGCCACTGGTAGCTACTCTGATTCAGATATATCCAATCTACACGCATGTCAGATCAATTTTAATATTATACTTCCGTCTGGGTATGAGCGTCCCAAATGAGTTTTTCCTTTCATGTTTAAGAAATAATATTTTGTATGTAATTTTAAAATTTATCTTTGTGTTATATGCCCTTCCTCAGTTGATATAGCAGAAACCATTGCTTATAAGATAGGATACATAAGATATTATCCTCCATTTTAAGTCTCAGTATTTCAGTTGCTCGTCTTCCAAGATGTCCACCCTTACCCTAAGTAAGGCATACATTTTCAACTTTTCGTAACCTTCTAGGCGAGAGAGTTGTGGATTAATTGCCGATAAAAAGTAAACAGGACGTAGTAGGAGTTTGCTGACGTTTCAGAGGTGCTTGTTGCTTCCATCATTAGGGCTCGCCATGATGATGGAGTCATAAAACACCTCTGAAACATTGGGAAATTAATACCAGACTAAAGTTAGCAACATCCCAAAAGACATTGACTTTCATGCCTGTCACATTGAGGGAATAAAATATTGAGAGAACATAGCAGAGTTCAGACACGTGGAAGTTGACGAAACGTCTGTGTGTAATTTCTGGATTCAGGTAAAGAACATTTGAGTATTCTAAAATACAGGAATTTCTAAACCAGCTGAGCTACTAATAGCTTCTCAAGAACGAATCTGTTCCATTGATCCAGATTAGTTAGACTCTCATCAGCATTGAAAGAGCATGAGGAAAACTCTGATGATGTTGCTATAGGCAGATTTATGACGCAGTTCGTTTCTTTGCAGAACGACAAAGACTACGAATATCTTAACAAAAGCGTCCGAGACGGGAAAGGTCGATTTGTGGATCTGGCGGACATCGATATATTCACCCTAGTGAAAAACAGTTAAGTGGGACATTTTGTTTTTCAGTTGCGAGCTTTCAAGTGCGAAGATTGGTATCAAGCTCTTACGTTCCCACGGAACACGCAGCGTGTATAACGTACTTATAAATTACCTATATTTTTTTTGTCATTTTTCTGATTACATCGAACTGTTATGCGAGTTACAACACGTGAACCAACTGTGTTAAGAGAATGTGACATGCATTATTCAATTTAGAGTAGGAGCCAACTTCTTTTTTCATACTAAACATGGACTAGTTCCAGCCAAGGATTTTCCGAATTTGTATTTTTCTTTTGTCTTCCTGTATTATAAACATAATTAAATATGACAGCGGTGTAAATACTGAATTCCGTTGTGGTGACAAGAACCAATATGCAGCGAAATTTTAAGGTTATGTTTCGGAAACAGTTGAATGAAACTAGTTCGGTTCTCGGCCGTACATGTCAACCATTCGACTTTCCGCCGAGCGCCATCTTGTATAACTTGGTTGTGTGAGATATGTTACTGTTATGAAATTTATTAATATAAATGTTACTGGGCATTCACATGAAACCGACATTGATTGAATACTTTTTTCCCCAGAGAAACTGCCTCTGCTTCGGGAAAAACGTTCTGTTGAATACTGGATGTTCCGAGATTACATGACCAAGACGGAGAACAGCGTTCCAGAAAATGAACGATGCACTTTCGTTGTCACGCCAAATTCTTTCATGATCCACGGTATTGCGTTCGCGTATCCCAAGGACAGCGTTCTCGGGAAGACATTCGACCCGCTGTAAGTTTCCAAAGACGAAGTTTGATATATTTCATATATAATAAAACAGGAAATAAACGTAATGTAAGTTGACTTGTAGTAACCGCGAAATATCCAGTACACGTGTTCAAGGTGATTGTTAAGTGGAGGAATATCGCTAAAACAGACATTTTATCTTTACATCCCATGCCTAAAATAACTTAATTAAGTAAAATGAAACTGTAATTGTTCAATATGGGTATAAAACTTGGTCTCATATTTACGGAAGGACACAGAATGAGGGCGTTAGAGTACAGAAGTCAGAAATGATATTTGAAACTACGAATAAGTAAATAATAGAAGAATTTATTAAATAATTGACTTGTTTTCTGTTGTGATCTTCGCCGGCTTAACGACATTAGTAATTTTAGCTACCGAGGAGATGAAACAATAATATAAGAATTTATTTAAATTGATACTTCTCATGTAAACCGAATAGAACTTATTCGATATCGCGTCCACTGACGGTCCTTATTGTTAGCAGTTCCAAAACATCAGTTAATTTGGTTTTATACGCTTACGGGACGTCACCTAACACCACGTACTGGCATTTTACAACATAAAACATTCATGACTTCACATCACCGACAGAAAATTGCACGGTTTGTAAACAGGACAAGTGCTGACGTGTGCAGTACACTTTATAAACATCCTTCTAATTTGATAACAACCAAGAATAACTCTCCCAACCCTCACCTTCTAACTCGTGGTGCGTAAGATTCAATTTTAAATTTGTGAAATAAAATTATTATCTGTTTTTAATTATCTCGTCTTTGTGTATTCACGTCCGTGTTTGAGTTTGTATACCATCAACACAACCTAAATTATGATAATATTTCACTTAATGTTTTAAAATGGGGCAGTTCTATTTGATGAGTCATCATCATTGTTATAAACTATAAGAAGGAATCCGGATATTAACAGGTTCCAGTCCCTGGTGGAATCGGGCATCGTAAAACACTTACTGAAACAGGGACTACCGCCTACGGAGATCTGCCCCCTTAACCTGCGTAGTACAGAAAGACAACTACGAAATGGCGACCTATTCACTACATACATGGTCGTTGTAGTCGGTTTCATCTCAAGCATTGTCGCCTTTATCGGCGAGGTAAGTACCAGCAAAGGTTATAATAAAATGTTCGAAAATTTTACTCATATAATCACGGTAAATATACGTAATAAAAATAAATTTATGAATCATGAATCTAACTTAATTTGTGTTATATACGAAAGGTACTGTACACAACTATGAAGAGGTGTTCTATGAGCAGCAAAATCAGGACTTCAGACGCCGATTGGACAGGGGATTATGGTTATAAGAAATCAGAAATGTTGCCTCCTCCCTACTCTGTGCTTATGCAACAACAGCATGGCTTAGGAAAACATCAGATCATCAACGGACGAGATTATCTGGTGATAAATTCAAAATCAGGTGACTCTCAGATCATACCAGTTCGTTCGCCATCTGCATTTTTGTTTCAGTACTCTGCTTAAGTTTATAGATGGTTGAGTTACAAACATAAAAATTTTTGGTAATAAAATCACTTTTTAATATGTTGTTTTCCACTAATAACAAATATTAATTCTATATTAACTTCCTCCATGACGCAAATGACGGGTATCACGTACCAGAAAAATCTTTGAGTGTCGTTGTAAAAAATTGTTCAGCCATTTCATGTTATTCAGTTTTAGTCATTAGACAACCAATTTCTGATACATTACTTACTATGGGAATACAAAACAAAGAAAATGATTTTATCTTAAGGATAGCAGCGTTGAAAGAGTTAATGTTATCACAATCGTAACATTTTTGTGTTACTTGTCGGCTTTATAAAACATTACAATAAATTCAATCACAATTTTAATATTTCAGAAGAATTTTGGGTCTGTTGAGCCTTCTTCTTCGTATATCTCAAAATAATAAAATATATATGTCTTCGAAGAAACCCTGTGACCGAGAAGGCCACAAAATATGTGTACCTTATTTGAAATTCTTTTGCAGAATGAAATTTCTATTATGTTTTAAAGTAAAATGAAAAAGGTATGTAAAAAAATTGTTTAATAAAATTAATCTAACAGCAGCAAATTAATATTGTGCCGAGTTAATGAATTAACCACGTTCATTGATCTCGTGAAACAAAATATATTTGCAAATACATTTAGAATAATATATCACCTTTTAAATGGCTGCATCAATGGATGTTTGCAGAAACAATAGATAAGAAAATAAATAAATTGCGTGACTATTGTGCAAGTTAAATTTTTCTAATATTTGTCTTCAAGAAAAAGAAGAAGACGACTTGGAAGTGTGGAAATATCCGAAATCTCAAATAATCATTCTTAATTGTGTGTCAGTAAAATTAAAACATTCTTTGTTTTGTTATTTTATTTACGAAAATCGATTGTACGTTTAATCATTCATGATGGCGAGAGGGTTATCATTAAAATGTAAATTCAGAAACCATTTCGTTTTACTCCGTATTATTGAGATTAAAATGTGGTAAACATAAAGCGTGGTAAGTAATGTAAAATGAAATGTTTACTTTGTATATAACCTGATGTTATAAGGTAAATGTTATTGTTTTTATGTAATAGATGGCTGCACATCTGGTTGATACAAATATACTTTTATGTTACGTGATTTGAGGTTCCCACAGCTGTGAAATATGGTCTTCTGAGATGTGACGCTATGTAGTTTGTTGATAGTTAACTAACGTACAACCATAAATATACGGTGTTAAACCCACACCCATAATTTTATTCTATTGTTGTTTCTGTATTAATTTGTGAGCCGTGGCTGAATTAATCACGTGACTCTTACACATTGGACAATTTTATGGTTTGTTTGCTCTTTAGTCAGACGATAACAACTTTAAGTCATATTCACTATATGTTAAGTATCACATATATTTAAAAATTTTAAATGTCCGAAACACGTAGCTTTCATACGAGTTCATAAAATGTAGCTCAGTCGACGTAGTGACTCATGTCGACTAGACGATAGAGGTTCGAACCCCGACGAGGGCAATGGATTCCTCCCTCAGCCTGTTTCCTATACGTTGGCTAAAGTGTAACAAAATGTTTAATTTTTTTTTACTCAGCCTGTTTCCTATACGTTGGCTAACGTGTAACAAAATGTTTAAATTTTTTTTCCAAAATTCGCATAATTCATATAAATTAATAAGCAGGTACACGTGGAATTCGATGCCTGCACGTATATGTAATTATTGTATTCAGTCCTAAATTCGTTCTGTATATTTTGAGGTTTATTATTTATAAATGTTATTGCGATATTATAATTGTTTTATTGGTTAATATGATCTGTTACACGAGTATTCCAGAACTTGTGAGTTAACTGCTTCAATGCTGTGATACAAACATATTCTGTCGTAAGTTACTCTGTAACACTATCTGAAAATTTGTGATGGAAATTACAAGGAAGGTACCTTGTAAATTTGCAACAACGCACAAACACACTACAGCGTATGTAATATTCATGGTAGTTGTAATTTTATTATTTAACTTTCTTGATGTCAGTTGTGTTGGTTAACGTTGTGTTTCTTTGAACACTGTACAATAAAGTTTGAGAGATAATTTAAATTATAATACTATTCAACAAAACTCAATAAAGTAAAAACATATTTTATGTTAATGTACTAAGTAATATGAAATCATAGCTTTAGATTTAGAAATTAAGAAAGTTATATACATATTTCCCATTACTTAACTCCGCGATGTCTTTTTTCCAGAAGAATTAAGTGCATGAAAGCCCATTTCGAACTTAATAGTTCTATTTGCTGTGTGAAGATGGGATGGGCGGCACATGTTGCATGCTTGGGAGAGTTCACTACCTTAAACTAGACCACGACCACTTCCTTCCATATCCTTTCCAATTAATTATTCATGACGTAGTAAAATAGTTTTGTAGGAATATTACATGCTTGTGGAGGACTCGTGTCAGATATTACGAATTACATTTTCTTAGCTATTATTTAAATACTACTTTAAAGCAATTAATTAAGCTGCTATACTGAACGTTAAAGGAATGAAGAGAGAGAATAAATGGACAATCTTTAATGTTAAAAGACTTTTCACAGAAATGTCGGGGAAAATACCAGGTCACTTGTATTGTACGTTGAGTCAGACATTCCTTTGCCTTGTTCAGTGATTTAACACAAATGTAAATTACACCGACACGTGTTCTGTGTTTCGTTGAAATCCCAAGGACTGATTTCGCGTATGATTTCAGCGCATCCTGGAGGGAATTTATTTGGAATTCATTTCCAACCTACGTCATAGTTTAATTTAAGCTTGAATCAGACATGCCAGAGTTCTATCTTAACTTAAGGCAGGAAAAATGAATTCTTACCGAATATAATTTCAATGTAGAAATTAGAATTTTATATACATTTGGTACAAAACTGATACTATTGTTTGCAAGTTAGAAAAATTGAAATTTCGCATATGAATAAATAAATTACGAAACGTACAATTTTTTATTTAAGTCTAAAATCTTTGGAAGTGGGAATTTAAAAAATTGAATCTAAACAAGAGAGAAATTAAATGGAAAAAGAACAAGTAATGAGATAAATAATTATATATAAAAATAAAAGTTAATATCTAGCTCAACTAACTATCTTAGAAGTAATTTTCTCTTTGTCCTATACTATAGATGTTGGCATACATGTTAGTACGCAGTATTAAAAAAATAACGCGATAAGGAAGAATTTGAAAACTCACGGGACACTTAACATTAAATTATTTTGTTTAATTTTTTGGAATCCGACATTAATAACAGCAGCCCTATCGATTATTTTATTTTGAACTAGATTTATAGTTACGATTACATTTAATTTTAAATTCTTGCGTATTTGAACCAGATCTTAAGACAACTAAGAACGAATATCTTATCAATTAAGTTTGTTAAGTATGCTATTAACGTAACACGATCTGTCCAGAGAATTATGGTGTGAAATGTAAATAATAATTTTACGTTTGTTAGTTAAATATCAAATTTTTATCGATTTGATGGCGATTTTTAACCACCAACACCTGATAAGACACTTCTGTCGCATAATGGCGTAGCCACGCCATTTTGATATTTCACGGAGCCAGTCTGAACGTGACATAAATTTAGGCTTGCGTCACATAATTACAAACCGTTGCCTCAACCAAACAACCAACAAACAAATTCACCCGTTTCCTGGACAGAGTCCTAGGAATTTCTTGTTACAAAATCGATTTTGCAACATCTCCAACATAACTCCTTGTTTTAATCTTAAACGAGTAATTTAAATCTATTTGTAGTTATCATAACCCCGAATCCTTATAACCAACCAAGCTATTGTTCCCTTTACATTTTGTTTATTCCAGTAAACCCTTTCAATTAATAACCATTCAGCATCGTCTTATCAACTTACTACTTACTGCCTGCCCATAAATGTTTACAAAAACGCTCAAACACTGTACATTTACCTTGAAGATGGCAAATTATATATTTGCCGAAACGAATCTTGACATTCGCCACAGTTCAACTCCCAAAAACGTAAGTTACATATTATTATTACTATTCCATCTATTCACCATTTTACAGGGTATTTACTTCTGTGTACCTGAGAAAAACCTTGCCCCTGAGGTACATTGTGCAGCAGCTATTTCTGAAATACATTTTGTTTGCAATACGTGTTACATGCATTACACAGATTTCGCGTGAGGCATTAAATATTTTACATGAGCGTTATTATTATTATTATGCTATAGTTAGTCTCATGAATTAGTCTCATAAAAGTAAGCAAAGATGTCAGTTCGGAAGTTGGCCTAGGTTCGTTTTTTCCCACTGAGACACGAAGTTATTAGACGTCATTGACACACACATGGCGTAGAATATAGACACAGACTATTAATGTGTAAACTTTTCAGTCGCCTGTCAGATAACGTCAAAACAACCTTAATTTGTGATATCCTGAACTTTGCAAAAAACCGACGCTTTGCCCATGTTCCAACCTGAGGAATCTGAGAGGCTCGCATTGGGTGGGTGAATGTTAAGATCCGAGAACCATCTGTAGCTTAATTCAAGTTATCTAATAGTCCTTTATACAATGAGAATAGTTTGAAATATATAAAATATAATCTACATGACTTGATGATCATTTTATGTGTGCAAGTTCCTCTAATATAAGTGTTCGTAATTATTAAGGTACCAGAAATAATTTCAAACAAAATTTGTAGGCATTTGTATGATATAATCCATACAAAAATTTAGCAATGCAGATTCACTGATTAGCTAGCTTTGCGATATGATTATGCTGTTTACGTTATACAAAATATTATATCGATATTTTTACACTATTGTCACACAAAATGCCAACTTCTATACCAGTACCGATTTTTAGCCACTGTCACATCGCAAGAACGCACAGAAGCCATGTTCGTATTATCTATAATAGGAATATAAAAATAAGTCATCTTTAAGGCCTGAGATTCACACTAGGTTTAATGAATATTACAATGGCACTTACCGCAGGCAAGATGACTTTGGTTCGATTTTTGGAAGGAGCAAGGACATTTTTTGTTGGCCTCCACATCCAGTCCTCTGCGCAGTCGAAACCAAGGCTCTTCCACTGAAGACAAAACAATCAAAGCGTTGAAACTCAGTTCCATTTAATACCATGGTCTATAATTCATAAAAGTTCTCCTTCAAGCCCCTATAAACTTTAATGACGCAATTAAGAACAAGGATAATTAAATATTTATATTTATTCATCTTTATTCTCATTGGACATAATTTTATGTTCTGAAATTTTTGGCGTCGCAACCCCCTCCCCCTCCCCCGCAAATTATCTTGCCTATTGAGGAAGCTCTATTTAATATCGGGTCTTAAAGTTCTGTGTAGTGAAAGATAGTGAAAGATTTTTGTGTGTGTGTGCATTCGCTGTCATATTGTGGTGGTCTAGTAAAATATATTTATTTTAAGATTTGATCAGATATTTTACAATTTAATGTCTAAGATTTGGTAGCTTTAGATATAATATGTCCACATATTTCGCACAGAACACTTTCTTTTGTCACAACCCTCAAGACAACAGTCGACAGTGTTCATTAAATTGGTACATCGATCATCCAGCTTTCGATTTGGTTATCAGAATAACATCTCTTGATTTTCTAAAGATTGTTTACCAAATGATCTTCGTAACACGTTTTGAATTAGATGATATTATTCTGCTTAGTAACGCCGTATGGTCTTATAGGTACATACCAGAGTTTCCAAGTAGATTACTGCCTCAATTTGGCTATAAGTTCACAGGGAGTTACTCTCAGAAAACCAAAATCGACTTATGTACCGTCGTAACATCTCCACAATGACGAAGTGTTTTATGGGATTTTTGAACTAAAACTTTTAAATATCATTTGGATTACTGACTCGTGTCTCCTGCAAATATTCTTTCGAATATTATAGATAGTAATTAACATAGCTTAATTCGCCTTCAAGAGCAGATAAGACAAATTCAAAATTTTTATCAGAAACCATGAGGAAAATTTGACGTAGATGAAAATATAATTTATTCCCATTGTCAAGGCCGTATTTCCGTTACACTTAACTGGACTGCGATACTGAAATAAACTGATATTAAATTCTGAAGGTGGCGGTGCCTATGGTGGTGTCTGGCGGAATCCGCATTTGGCAGGAGTCTGGAGTAAGTCGGTAAATTTTATGTTAGTGTGTTTGGCAGGAGGAATAAGGCTTTCGATCCCTTGGTTTATCCTCGATGCAGCGAGTTAAGCGATCCCAAGTTTGATGCCGACAGCTGTGAGTAGGGCTGATTCCCGAAACGTCGTGTATATCAAACACGCCTCAGACAGTGACCGCTGTTAAATATAATTCATGTATAATAAATCAGCCACCGCCAGAAATCTTTAGAGAACCTGTAACATTTACGCGACTTGTAGCAAGTCGTGAACTTCAAAGGCAATGCATTGAAACTGAAACACCCAGTTATTTGGAAGGCCCGTAGCAGATGATGTTCAGAACTCTCCTCGCGTGCTGTATGTAACTTAGACGTTACATCACCGGTTTATGGAGAACAGAAATAACTATTGCAACTACTCCAATTGGCAAGATGATGGCACATCTTACTTGGTTGGCTTGCTCCCAGTCCATTAACCCAGAATCCACAAAATTCTTATGTTCCGAAAACATTTTTTGGGTAACTTCACTTTGTTCTGATCCGTGACGAAATAATTTATCTTTCTTTTCAGTTGTATCTAAGAAACTGAGAGGCTAAGATTTCAGGTAAATGGGGCGCCGTCTGTATAGAGACGAAGGGAATGTGTTTTGTACACCATGAAAAGCTTTTTGAGGTCAGAACGGAGACAGAGATATTTTATTATCAACGTTGACGTAGCTTATAAGTGAATGGTATAACGTATAATTATGGAATACAGACGAATATTTTTATCAAGTTAGATATAATTAAAGTACAAATTTAGCCAGTTATAAGTTAGAATAAGGAACGGTAAGATTCTATGTACAGAAATGTCTGTGTAATTGCGTAGCGCAATTATACGTAAGTATATCAGGCTGTTGTCAGAAAAAGAAACCGATTTTATAAGAATGTAGTTCTATATAGAGAACATAATTCAATAAATAAATTACTAAATCTGTTATACAAATAACGTAAATATGTTTAAAGATAATAAAAAAATTAAACGAAATTGCACACACATGACGTAACATGTACAGTAGATTCCAGTTAAATGGGTCAACGGTTAATCGGGGAAGCCTTTTATTTGGGACAAAGTTTAAGGGTCCCGATGTGTCCCAATTAACCGGAATCCACTGATGTAAGGCCCTCATACATCTTTTTCAGTTTATCATGGCGGTAAAGATGCCTATGTTTGTCTTCTGGGCAGTGACGCGTGTGGACTCGTAGGTAAACACAAAATTTTCGACCGCCTTCCAGATTTTTCGCCTTTATGTCATTTGACTATATTTTCCACTAGATTAACGATTTATCTCCCCCCTTCCTAACATTTACATTTGTCTTTTACATCTGGACGCAGAAATCTTTACGTGTAATAACAACAAAACGAAACATATCACGAAATATTAATATGAACGTTATGATAGTTTACAATATACAACATAAGATTTTTCAGCATTATTCATCAGTAATATTATCCATCCCGTGTGGGGTTTGCTAGATCCTCCATGCCTTAATTTCAGAAAAGGTACACAAACGCACGGAGTCACCCCTTCTACTGCCGAGGGGTTAGTTAGTAGGAGATATACCTCCCCTCCCCCTAAGTGCCAACATTAGCATATAACGGGATGGCTCTACTTTTACACATACCGAGTCTACGTAATTCATTTTAATCAAGATGCTAGTCTTTGGGTTTATTTCACAGCCCTTTATAAATTACTTAATATGCAGAGATACCAAAAATACGGTACTCTGACATAGACAGGGAGTTTTCTTTAGTAATATTGGCAGTAATTGCAGCAATAAAGATGGCGACTATGATACTGAATAGGCGTGTACTTTTATATGTGTAACTTAATAGTGTTGGTCATGTTTAACGTTAATCTAAGTGGCTTTGCAACATGAGACATCCATTACTACAGTTAATTCGTCGTCAAAACAACAGGTAGGCTGATACATCAAATTATAGGCCGATAACAAGTGCAGAATGGGTGTAGTTCTAGATATAAAAATTCAACACTCTTCAAGGTTGAATGTAATGGATATGAATGATGATATGAGGTCGTTTTTGATTCTATGATACCTGACAATTAAATGTAGAATTGAGAGATGATGATCATGTATGTATAATCTAACCACCTTTCTTAATACTAAGTTATTCATCTACTCTTTCGTTTGTTTTTCGTATCTTATTTTCAGCAACATTAAAATCCAAATACAATAGGCGAAGAGGTGATAAAGCGAGTACCATTAACGGAAACTAATTATAATTACAATTTTTCACTTTTTTCCGGTAACATGGACAATGTTCAGTGTTCTTTACTAATTTTGGGACGCTGATTTCAAATATGACCTTGAAAAACACCAAACACGTAAGAATGTTTTGATATGATAACGTTTCCTTTTTCTCGTTTCCGTATACAGTACAAAGTTTAACCTATTACTAATGTCATTTTTATGGGTTTATTTACAAAGCTTAATCCTTAATCTATTCATCTGGGTTGAGTAGTGAGACAATAAAAACATAACTGAAAACAAATAAGAAATTATTGAAAAAATTTAAGTGAAATTTTACACACAAAAATGAGAGCAAAAGACAAAACGTCTGCTGCGAATTATTTTTACTTTATTTTGTAAGCAAAAGACAAAAAGTCTGCTGCGAGTTATTTTTACTTTATTTTGTGCGGTGTAGTGTCTTCCTTCCGCAAAACCCCAGCAATAGTCTCCCATCATAGCTGAGTCCCACCTTCTCTGGTAGCGTTCTTCCATAGTTCGAATATCTTGGTGCTCATCACTTACGTCGTCCAAGTTCCCTGGGAAGAAGTCCAGTTGTGAATGAAGAAAATGGATCTTCAATGACATTCTACATCCCAAATTCTTTTAATTTTCATCCCAAATTCTTGTAATTTTGCAAAATATTCTCCACTAGAAGCTGGTAGTTTCCTTCCTTTCGCTTTCCAAGGAAACCTTTCACCACAGATACAAAAGACCAAAATCTTCATATGTCACGACTTCTATTGAAATTTAAATTAGCTATTGATTATTTTGCATTTCAATGGTACTTCGGTACTATGAACATGAAATATGAACACAGTTTTAAAAAGATTTGATTCAACTTTAATTACTGCTAATGAAGTTTACAATTATTTATACGAAACTTGGTGAAAAACATCTCAAACAGAATCTCAGCAAGAAAAGCTGTGAATGAAAATCCAGTTCCTATGAGAAGAAAGATGAATGCCCCTTGCATGTGAGACAAATTCATTTCGACATATGCATCTTTTAAGGATTTTAGTGCTAGAACCCCTGCCTTTATTCGTCTGTCTTCCAATATGGCTTCTTTCCAGTAATCAGATAGACCAGCTTCAACAATTCTTCTGATAATTTCGTTCACGTATAGAAGAAAAGGACTTCCTTTCTGCATCAACATTATTGAGTGTATCTGGAAGGAATCCTCCCGAAAAGGATGCACATCATGTCGTTTTTCTTGTTTAATCTGTTCTTCACGATGGTACCCTACGAGGACTCTCGAAACAAATGTAGTGGCATTATAAACCGTCGCCACATATGCTAGGCACCTTATGGGCTCACATCGAATTCTCGGTGTCAACCGCTTTAACATATCATTTGTAAAAAATCGATCCAATGGTGAAGAAAATGCATAAACTGTCGGTTCGTTAAATAATTCATCAATATTATCAATCTGGTGCTGTAGACCAGGGTCTACTTCATAACTTGTAAAGAATGCTTGGAATACAGTGTTCATAGCCAACGAATAGGCCACCCAGAAAATAAACAAGACACGTAGGGTACTATTACGAGGCATTTTGGGAATTCCTGCTTGAAGCAATGTAGCCCATGCGCTCAGAATGCATTTTGAAATACCCCATTCACCATTTGTTTTATAATACGTGGACTTTGATAAGTACCTCATGAGAAGTCCCACAATAAAAACAAATGCTAAGACTAGTAGCCATGCCGTGAGTGTAAAAACTCTGCCCATACTTAACCATTGAGGATACGGTCTTGCGCGAGCTACGATCCACGTAAATCTACCAGTATGATAAGTATTTGTATCGTCAAATTCGACATGATCGTCAAAATTACTAAGAAATGATCCTATTATAATATCTGCTTTGTCGTACTTCAAGTCACCTTTTAACCCAGTCCATGTTCCATTTGACAGTATCTGCCCCTTTCTCTCTTTCTCTAAAATTACTCGGAACTTCAGAGACGCATTTAGCTTCTTAGTTACTGCTCTCAGGACTTCAACATCGATGCCTCCTTCGACGGTCGCATTTTCATTACAAATTACGTACGGTTGAAAGTTAATTGTTGATGCCCTAAAGACACATCCTTGCAGATCACGTAGCATACCATTTGTAAACAGTGTTAAATTGCGTTGGAAGATCCCTGTATCTTGTTCCCTGACCCAAGTATCAAGATGAACAACATTCAAAAGCCTTCCACATCGAGCAGACGGAAACTGGTAAGGAAACCACGTGAATATTTCAACAGTTTCTTGCGCTGAAGGGTACAGTGTGATGACATTAAATATATTGAAGTCCCAAAGGTGTTCCAATATCTTCTTCAGCTCATTCTGTACATTACTTGAAACGCAATGAGTAGCCACTACCACAAATTTCCCTCTGGAATTCCATGCAGGTGAAGTCTTCAACTGCATGATCATCTTCGTCATGTAATCCAACACATTTTTCCAACCTCCTTCGTGGCATCTCAGGATCAGGATATAACTGAAGTGTTTTTCGTCGTTTGTATTGTCCCAGATATCAGGATTATGTTCAATTATATCCTCCGCAGGACGATATACAGCAATTGGCCAGAGACCAATAAGATTCAAACCCTCCATCACGATGTCTTCAATGTCGACTAGGGTTTCAGTGACTTGAAACGTCCGATTTTCGTGGTTAAATGCAGACGAAACTACCACAGTTCGTCCAGGACTGAAGTACTGTACACTGATCCTTAGGACACAGTCTGCCAGAAGATGAATCTGCTGGTTGACTTGTGTTGCTTCGTGTAGATCTGCCATCCATATTAGCAGCAGTGACCAGAATTTCTGTTATATAGCAGTAACAAAAATATTATTTATACAACAAAGTATTCCTTTTAATATTCACGAATTTATGTGTTTTATACGCAGCATTTGAAACTGTTAAATGAAAAAAACAAACATAGCGAATTGTACAGCTATTATTATCAATACAGTGAGGAGATTTGGAGGCTGTGCGGGCGACAACGTACGGTATTGTGCTAAGCGCGATCACTGCATCATCGGTTGCCGCATTTCCTAGTCCTAGCGGCACATTCGTCAAAAATTCTCACTGTATAAACTAATCATAATGAATTTAACAATTATTTTTACAATTAATTAACTATTATAAATATATATTTGAACTTTAGTATGAGAAAATATTTATTGAATGTCACTTACTTGCATGAAGCAGTGCGGTTTTGATGGACATTTATGTAAAACCATTTCGTAAAATGAAATGTGGTCTAGCACAATTCGGCGTTTAGAACTAAAAATCGTCATATCCTACAAGATGTCAGAAGGGATAAAATATCACGTAATTATTATAAAATTATAATACGAAATCTAATAGGCGTTTCGTGAATCGTGATTCCTGCGTTTATCTATTTACTTGAAACAAAGCGTGGCTATTATACATGTTTAATCTTGTCAAAACCTATCTGCAGGCAGTTAGAAAATAAAATCCATATTCTGTCTGAAGATGATATGTAACATCAAAAATTATATACCAATGCCCGAAGACGTTAGGGCAGCTGTAATGTTTCTCACTTGTTTCATGACTGAAGAATCAATTTGTTTCTCCACTGATAGCCGAGACAGGAGACTTCAACATGACTGAAGAATCAATTTGTTTCTCCAGCGATAGCCGAGAGAGGAGACTTCAATTATACCATGGTCGTTTGTTTCTAAATACACACCAATGTAAATTGATGAACACATTCACATTTATTTGACTATCCATTTCTTGTTCATTTCATACAGTACAATTACTATTAAAATAAACAATTAATCTAACTTTAATACGCCCTGAGAATTCGATCACGAATAAACTCAGCTAAATAATAAATTTTCGAAGAAATTACGAATTACTCTTAATTGCTTCGGGTATCCAAAATACCCCAGGATCTTATTTAAAATAATTTTTAAAATCGTTTTTAATTATCGACAAAGAAAAAGTAATACCTGAATCTGTCAATTCTTTTATCAACAATACAATTTATATTTCCGTACAATGCAACATTTTTGCTGACTGTAAGTTAAATTAATTCTAATATACGGGCGATAAATGATCTTCAATGAAAGTGAGGATTACAAAACAGAAAGTAACAATTTCTAAAGTCTACGTATCCCCTTTTAGAGATGCTTAATAATTTTTACTCTTCAAATCTTATTAATGTGAACAAGTCAAATAAGAATACACATGTGCAATCATAGACTGGATTGACCTGGCTCAAGACAGGGACCGACGGCGGGCTTTTGTAATAAATTATCGGGTGTCATAAAAGGCAGAGAATTTATTGAATATGTAAGTGATTATTAGTTTCTGAAGAAGGGCCATGCTACATGAAAATAAGTAGTTTACTTATAGTTAAGTAGTCCAAAATATGCCTCTCCATGTTCTTGTTATTCTCTTCGATTTTTATACAAGTTCTGTTATCAATAGTCTGTCTGCAAAAATGTCGAACAACGGAAACACCCTTCCCATGAACACGTGTATAAAATTTCACGTTCCATGCCACAATATTAAAGGAAACCATTTCAAACAGGTTAAACTTTGGGGACAGTTGTAAATATATTTCTGTTACAATTCAGGACTGGCATTTAAAAATCGTGGAATGACTTCCTTAACTCCAAGAAATAATATTTCGCGTCTTAATTAGATTAAAAATGCTTTAATTCATATTCATGACAGAAATGTTGACATGACACGATTGTCTTGTTAAATATTTAGTGTTTGCGTGATTCTGCTAGTATGTTTTGTTGACAACGATTATCTGTCACGCTATGGAAAACAGACGCTGACATTCTCATAAACTGCCTTAATGCTACAATGACGTACGAATGACAATAATTTATATCACAATTGTCATGTATATGAACTCCACTTCCATCATGTTTATAAAAAGTCATTATCTCAGTTTTATAACTAATTCATTGGAATACAATCGTTCTCGCCTTAATTTGAGTTTCATAAAAGATGACCTTGAACGATTACTTGCTACTCAAGAATGGACTTTAACTTAGTTTCTTAGTAAATTTAATATTAAAAGTCTGTAGGAATTGAGAAATGTCCGTTTTTAGACACAGTGACTAATCTGACAGGTGTAAAAGCGTTGACAAATGTACTTTAGCGTCCTGGTGACTACTACTCCGTCACGCACTCAAATCCCTTCGTCGTTTTCTGTATTTTCTTAGCACTCTGTGTGTGAAGCCAAGCTTCATAATTTCACGAACGCTTACCACAGAACTGCCATCTCACCTCTACTTTTCTATACATAGCTACGACTGCAGGCGACCTCGGTAATAATTTTGGAAGCAAAACTGGAAAGAAGCCCATTACACAACCACTGTTCTTACCTCTTCTAATAATACTACCAATAATAACAACAATAACTATCAAGGGTCAACAAATGCTGGTTTAATTCACTAATAAGAAAACAATTCTAGTCGCCAGATATTCCCGCCACAAAGAGAGTCTGAAAATGATTACAACTGCGCTCCTATCGATAGATCTTAGAACTACACGTATTGAAAGACTGGAGCTGACACAAATACACTGTTCATTCACACAGTCGCTGGATTTTGACGTTTAAATACGTCAGTGTCGCTTTAGAAAAGGCCGTCATACAGACTCCAGCTACAAATTCACTGTTCCATGTTTGTGGAGACATCAAATAAGAGCGATAGAGAATATTAATGAAGAAAATACTATACGAAGACGAACAGGGTGTTTAAAACGACATACTAAGGACGTAAGATAGATAAAATTTCAGGAAGTTGGAAAAAATTGCACATTGAGGATCTCTATAATTTGTATTCGTCACCGAATTTCAGTACGGTGGTCAAATCAAGAAAGATTTTATGAACGGAGCATATAGCGCACATGGGGAAATGAGAAATGCTTAGAAAAGTTTGAATGGAAAAACTTGAAAGAAAATACCACTCGAAAGACCCAGCCATAGATGGTTAAAAAAGTTAAAGTTTGTCCCACTATACGCCATGTAGGCGTTTGGGGGGAGTGGACCGGTTTTACCCCCGGGAAAGGACCCCGGTATCCATTGTAGAGGAGGCTGGGTGGGCCCCAGAGCCGGTCTGAACGCAGAGGCTAGAGTAAAAATCCTCTGCCGGTCGTCCAGCCAGTAACTAATCACTATACTGACTGAGGTATCCCGGCTCATATCATAGATGGTTAGACATTTAAATATATCAGAGAGAAATGTGGTTGGAGGATGAGAATTAGATTCATGTTGGTCAGGAAATTAACTGGTAGCGAGTTCTTGTGAACAAAGTAAAAATCTTTCGGGTTGCATAAAACGCAGGGAATTTCTTGACTGGGCATGTTATCAACGTCTCAAAGAAGACTGTTCTATAAAGTTATATAAAGAAATATAATTTGTTCGAATAATGTGACAAAACCAGAAACATACGAAACGCATACAAAATATCTGTTAATCTTTTAGTGTTTCGAACATTAAATTATCAGGATTGCATAAACAATTAATGTAAAATCCATTGAAAAGTATTAACAATTGTAGTTCCAGATGCAGTTAACATTTAAGCCTCCGGTAAGAAACTGAAGTAGCTTTAGACCGTTGTTGTACGCAGCTATCATGTCCACTTGGTTACAGTACTGTGCAAATGTCTACTTTTACAAGAACGTTGGCATTTTCTGTAAGATCTGCAGGTCCACAAATCCGTGAAATTAAACATATCTCGTAACGATATCACACAAACATTCTGGACAACATCCAGACACCCTAAAACCAGTTATGCCGGGTTATAACTTATTAAAATATGTTAAATTCTGGCGCTGGTTCAAATATAATAAAAATAACCTAGAACTTGATATTATCCTTTAAAGCCGACGCTCGCCTAAATAAAATTTAAGAATTCAGCCCATACCTCAAAGAAAACACAACACTTCGCCATTTTAGAGATCAGTTTGTTAATGCTATTTGAAGAAATAATCGTTGTAACACGAAACAGAATAGAAAAATTCTGAGTTATTTATTGTTAAAGTAAATGGGACGCATGATATTTACCAATAGGCTTTAAACGGTTAATCAAACTTACGTTAAATTATTGTAGCCAAGTGGGGTCACAGTAAAGTCCAAACTGAAGAAAGAGGTTTAAAAATATGATGGAATAACTCAGGAGAATACTTTACACCATTTTCAATTCTTACACCCCAAATTTCACATAGACTGCTTTTTGGGACTAAACCCGAGTCTCGCAGATATAATCGGGCGTCTAACTACCTCAGCTATAACAAAATCCCATATTAATTTTCTCTAATTTTACTCTGTATATAAAATGCATTAAACTGTTAACAAACAGAATTAAGAAACATTTCATTGCACTGACGTTGAAGGCTACGTAATTTCTTGATAAAATCTTTGCTGTTCGTCCAACTAGGAGTCGGGGAGATGACGAGACGACCAATTCAACCCACATCCTTTCTAATTCATCTTTAACAAATAATTCTCCCATTCAACATTAAATAACCAATACCGTTAATGAAAAATTGTTAAATAAACCAAGAATCAATATTTAGTGTGTCAAGAAGAAACATGTAGCTCTGTAAGTAAATTGTAAGCCTCCATGGTCTTCAAGAGCTGGTTTTCGGTACAGAAAAAACCACATATAGTATATTTGTTCAGAATAAAATAAAATTTACGGGAAGAGGAAATTTATTGTAGGCCTATATATACTTAAAAAAGATTCATCACCTGTAAGTGACCCAAACAGTACTGTTGTTATAAATTTCGTATTCAAATGGAATTCTTAATTCCATTCACAAATTCTAGCTACTCTCTCTCTCTCTCTCTCTACACACACACACACATATATATATTTATTTATTTATCTTATTTTAATGGTGAGTTAAATGGGAATCTAATCTTGGTCGAACACCGGATACCCTCATTGAGATTAGAGTGTAGAATTTGAAGTTTTCAAGGCGGTGAGACTGAAGATGATTGTCTTCTGGGTTGTTGCACCGTGTAGTCTAGTAGAAGGGGCTCTGATGATGGGGGCAGCAAGGACCTCTGAAACGTCGGTTAACTTTTACCAGACTAAACGGCACAATAACCCAAAAGACAGTCATCTTGAGATTTAAGTGGCTTTCCTCAGTATATGCATGACAATTCAAATGCCTTAAAATAGATTATAGCTTCTTTGTAGTTACCGAATCATCATTCATCCTATCATATAAAAATCACCACTATTTAACATTTGACAAAACGTGGTAACAAAAGCTAATAAACAGTCTTGAAACTTTCCGATTGCACCTCGTACATTCATAAAAATCTGTACCCATTTTGCTATTGTATTTATCCGTCCAACTACTCTTTTATATACCTTATCAAACATTCACCTATCAATATATTCGTCTTTCCATACATTTTATTTCCAAACAATTATTCACCGTCTATTTTATCATCCACCCACTTCAACATCTATCTTTGCTTCTTCCAGATTTATCACCTGCTGTCCTATTTCCAACCATTGCCACAAGACTCAAGAGTCACATGTGTGTTTGAGATATCCTCATTGGCTGATTGACTTTGTATCAGAGATTAAAACAGCGTGCCATACTCCGAAGTCACTAACTGAATTTGTCTTCACACGTAATGAAAAGCATAAGAATGGTAGCATATCATTGCCGCCCACATTCTAGAAACTTCTGCCAAGCTGTGACGTGATGTTACGAAAGACTTCTACAGTATGCCACTTATTGGTCACGTGTCCCACAGACTGTGAAGCAAAATAATTGTTTGGCAAGATGTCCTATAGTGCTGAGAAGTGCATCGTTGCTCTAAGAATGTAGTATTGTGATATTTGTGTGTTTGTTTCTTTGTAACTGAAATTTCTAGCAATTATATTACAATTATAACCTGTTCCAAATGTATTTTTAAATGTTCATCATATATAACATTATACCGCAAATGGTTACTTTTAGTAATAAAGATAATGCACGGCTGACTGAAATAATATTTACAATTCTGAAATAAAAATTTACACTTTAATCGTTTTTCTGACTTTCGTATTAACTTAATCACAAATATTGTAATAGGGCTCCAAAGCAGAAGTACACATATCTTGATAAATATTTGTCTTACAGCGATTATCCCTGTATAAGTTTAAAACTGTATACGAATCATAAAGTTAATTTTATATTTTCTATATTATAGGTTTTTCAGAATACAGCGTTTTCAGTATAAGCTGCTCTAAACAACAGCTGTCTGTATATTTATAAGTTTTTAATCTTTTGGTTAGTAGGCAGAATTGACGATAAATTCAATTCAATTCTCAGCATTATTATAGTAAGCATTTGTAGGCAGAATTGACGATAAATTCAATTAAATTCTGAGCATAATTATAGTAAGCATTCCCCTAGCTGAATTTACTCTTAATTTCGTTATGAATGTATTTCTAATTTTATATTTTTATTCCCAAATAATCTGATTAGATCCTGACGATATATGAACAAATATTTGTTTCTAAATCAACATTCCTACTAACGTTATAGACTTTCTAAGCCTTTGCGATATTTATATTTTGCGTAATTATCATTAGCATGCTTTATCGAGCAAAGAGTTTTCGTTACACAAGACACGTATAAATGCTGTGACTTCAGCGGACATCAGAAGTCTACACGAAAGTTCTTTTTAGAGTGCTGTAAATAGTTCAGAGATCGATGTGAAAAATTTGGATACTATGAAATGCTGCAACTAGGCGGGAGAATAGAATAATTTATTTATGTTTTGTAACAGAAACTTATGGGATCTGCTCTGACACGAAGATGAAGGGATATTTACCACTTGAGAAATAACACCATAGATGGGAAGATGATGTTTTCTGTCTAAAATTTTACGTGCATTTTTCATCACTGTCTTACGTGCTACATGCCACGCCTATTCTCCTTATTTGATCAGTTTAATTACACCTGATGAGAATAACAAACTATAAAGCTACTCATTATGTAGTTTACTCCAGATTCCTGTGTTTATAGTTCGTACACCTACTTAAGCAACTAGATCCATAGATCAGAGATCTTGAAAAGCTGATTATAGCTCAGATGATCAATATTTTACCCACCTTCTATGAGACCCCCAAACTTATTATCGTCTTCACAGGAACACACCACATTTCCCTATCTTGAGCCACATTAATCCACCCCATTTCTTTAAGATCAATTTAATGTCTTCCATCTACATCTGATCTTCCAAGTGGACTCTTTCCTTCATATTATCCGGCCAGAACTCTTCATTTGCCCATGCTTCTACATGCCCTGCCCATTTAATCTTTCTTGATTTTATCCTAATATTATCTGATGAACATTAAAAACTGTGAAGCTCCAAATCATTTAAATCTATCTCAAGGCGACCTTAATACCCAGCTATCCCATTAATTTTAATTAAACGCCTTATTAAAGGAAAAAATTATAAAAATTTAGAATTTAAATGCTGGTTAAACGTTTCAATTGAGTTAATTTTGATTCTGTTGTTAAAAAACCCAAATTATTGACTAAGGTATTCTAAAATTACTACTATTCTGCCCTCGTGCTGAATAATTCCTTGAACAATTCTATCACCTACTTAATTCTGACTTACCCACACTCATTCCAAAATGATGCAACCTACTGCCTGTTTTAATTTCAGGCGATGAGGAATCAAAGACGTTAAGCAACACATTCTCACCCTAGGAACAAAAAAAAAATTCACAGAATCTAAATTTAACCAAAAATCTTGATATAGAATATGCTTAAAAATGACGTGAATAAAAAGAGGAATAATTCTGTGCCAATTTCTCTCTCAAGACATTAGATCTTACCTACAAGGTTATAAGAAGTTATAAGTGACCCCAATGTCACTGTCGGATATTTTTTCTTTGTGGGAGGAGCCTAAAAGGTAAGTGACAATGCTTCGAGTAGAACTATTGCCAGAAATGTGGGTTGCAATAGGCGGACTCCGACAACTCTGTCAGGGAAATTCGAGGATACGATTAGTCTCGTAGGCATTTATTCTGAATAATCTACCTATTTATAGATTTTAGGTTTGAAAACTGCTGTGTTTCTGAATCCTACGGTTCAAGAAAGTGAAGTGGGCGGTGGGCGACTTCTGGACGGCGTAAAAGAGGGGGTACTGTGGTAATATCTTGAATTTTCTTGTGAAGATTATGGCAAGCGTGGGATACGTGTGGAAGGAGAAATAGGGTGGGGGGGAGGCGACTTATGAACGCCTATATAACCAGAGCGTTCAGCTAATTTTGGAACCAGTGTGTGTGTGAGTGTATAACATTATCGAAACTCCTCCACTTCAGGGAAACTCACCCTCGACTTTGCTGCTTCTACTTCTTGTACTCAGACGTCGTAATGTCACTCGAACGTCAAGTCAGAGCCAAGGTAAGGACAACCACAACTTTATAAGGATTTAAACAAAGTGCTCATGTGTCCTGTGAAATTTACGAACTACACGTTTACGTGAATATTTGATTAATTTTATTATACGAATATTATTCGTTCTTAAAATATTTTATTAAACATTATCCGTAGTTTATTATCTAAATTATAACAATTATACAAGAATCTAAATGTTACTATGTATTGTAGGTTAATTTTATATCCTTCCATAAGCAAGAACACGAAGAAGATAACTATTCTGTAGTGTCCGTTAGATCATTGTTCCACGACATTTTTTCACCCACCGTAATTTGTCAAAAAGACGCATGGCAGCACACCACATATTTTCGTCTGGCGAAAAGGGGATAAAAAGTCACACACGACCTTAAATATGCATAAACATTTAAATCCTTACTCTATAATCAAGAATATAAAACAAAACATAACACATATTGAGTGAAACTATTGATAATGTACCACCGAGTGTGTGTCTACTACAAATTCTAATTACGATAGATAAGATTTGTCTTTTTTGGTCTAAAACTTGGGAATATATAATTTCTTATAAGAATTCGCGGTACACCTAAAACCTTGTGACGGTTCTCAGGTTTTGTAACACTGCGTTAAAAAAACCTAATCTTATCATTGAACATAAAATAAGTCTAAGTAATGACATTATACAGGAATAGCAACCAATTCTTCGTCGGAGGTAAGCACTAAGCAGATATCTCTTATGATCATGTTCTTCTGGGTTTGGAATCGTGTAGACACGTAGCTCTGCAGATGGAGAAGTACGTTTCTCCGAGGCGCTGAAATCTAAGGACGAGTTTACACGGCGCCAAGACCCAGAACAATCATCATCCTTACCGCCGTGATAACCTAAAATTTCACATAATATTCCTTATGCTCTCACGTGAAGACCGAGACACAGGAAATCTTCGGAACATAATCACGATTTACTTTTTATAATTGGTATCATTTAAATAACATCGTGTTATAATAGTGGTAATGAGGAAACATTCGTCCGGGGCGGTGGTAAGATAAAGCCCTGTTGGACAGAATCAGTACCATGTAGATTAAATAGAGATACCGACGTTTCGGAGGTGTTCAGTAATCATTGTCTTATGATGGAAGCAGTAAGAACCTCTGAAACGTTGGTAAACATGTACATGGTGCAACAACCCAGTATATTCGCCACCGTGAGAACCTGAAATATCACTCTTTTATTAATACCTAGATAAGTAGGTTATTTTACACACACACACAAAAATTAATATATATGAAATATAAAGATGGTGAAAACTAAAGTTATATACTTTATGGTATTTATATATAGTAAAAATATATTAAAATTATGTTTGTTTGTAAATTTATGTGCTTATAAATGATGACAAATCCTAGAGCGTGTACAGTATTAGAACATCCTTGCTTATATTTAAACATTCCACATTTTTTGACAAATAGAAAATGTTTCACAAATGGATTTACGTGACTTTTCGATCACACGTTGCTTTGCTGATTGGCCTTCTAATTATATTTATTCTGTATTAGGAAATTATCGCGCTAAAACTCAGGGTCCAGTCCAGTCAATGTTGCTCTTCTGGTTGTAATGCCGAGAAGACTTTCAAATAGAACCCAAAATTTGGAAGGAATATACTGCTTCCATTTTTTAGATTCAAATACATTTTTAGTACTGAAGGTGGAAGCAGTATTTTCATCCGAAACGTTGGCATCTACGAACAAGCCCACATGACGTTGCAGCCCAGAAGACAGAGATCTTATCCACCGCGAGAACTTCAGACCTTAATATTTCGATAATTAATTACGTATAAGATAATTATTATGTCACAGTAAATGTCAGCAATTCTCATTATCAAAACTTTTTTTCTCTTTGCTTTTGTGGGTAAGGCCCTCTGCTGTGTTTGATCTCAGAATTTAAAAAAAACTGTACTATTTTTCCGGACACTGATAGTGTAATTGCATCAGTGAGTTTCGATTGACCAGACACGTAGCAAGAATAAAGAAAATATGACACATTTAACAACATGATTTCTAATTCATAAGCAAAAAAGTCACATGTGAGAGAAAGATGTTATTTAATTAAGAAAAATAATCTTACAAATTTACTGAAACTAATTGAAGTCATTTAATTCAGTCCAACAACGATTTTATATTTTGACACGGATTAAATTCGGTTTAATTAACAGAAGACATTTGAACGTACTATTACACTTGAATGAGTTTTGTTCAGAATTATCCCTGAATCAGAATACAGAGTTAGGAAGTAAATTTTCTTTCCAACTTATGACTATCAAATGTAAACATTTATTTATAAATATAAGAACAATTAATGGGTCTTTATATGATACATTGTGGTACACTTTTGCTTAATCTTTGATAAATTACTTCAAATGATAAAAAGTGTAGCATAAGTTACAATAACACGGTCATAAATTCTAAATTTAACCATGAAAACCTCAGTATTATGAACCTCCAGAATGAAAGACGAGCAATCTACCAAAATCTAATTTAATTTATGTAAAATATAAGATTAACATCTTCTGTGTCGCGTGTAGTCTCGTAGAAGATGTTTGCTACCTCCATCATCAGTACGATAAGTACTCTCATGATGGAGGCAGCAACCACCTCCGAAACGTCGGTAAATTTCTACCAGACTACACGGCGCATCAACTCAGATTACAGCCATATTCGCCACCTTCAAAACCTGAAATATCCCTCGTGTAAAATTGTTTTCCTAATATACGCGTTAACTGAAAAAATATCGCATTTCGGAAGTTAATTCTACTTCCATCTTCAGGTGTATGTGTTTACGATATTCGAAAATGTAGGGGAGATATAACAGAAGATTTGTTCTCTCTTTAGTTGGCAGGCAAAAGGGATGTCCAGCAAGAGAAGGAGGCCCAAGAATGGATAGAAGCTGTCCTAGGTGAGAAATTCCCACCAGGAGAGACATTTGAGGATGTCCTTCGTGACGGCCAGGTCCTATGCAAACTGATGAACAAGATCAGTCCTGGTAGTGTAACTAAGATCAACAGTTCGGGCGGACAATTCAAAATGATGGAAAATATTAACGTGTGAGTAGCTTATATAAAGATAACTCCACTATATTACGCCTTTTTTTATATAAATCTATATTAAAAATATCCTCTCATCAACGCCTGTGTCTTAAGTTCATATTTTTCGACAACATCTTTGTGTGCATTTCTTTATTCTCCACATTTTGTATCACTTGCAAACGTCATCTTTGGCAGAAAACAGGAAATACATCCACAGATTTTGTGTGTAAAGCTCTAGACAAGAAGTTGGTTATAATATCAAGCCAAAATACAAATGTGTTGTAAAAGTGAATGTTAAGGAAATTGACTGTAATATAAATTCATCTGAGGCGGCTAGATTATGTCATTCGTAACGTGTACATTAGGTTCGTATTAGATATGTATTTTCTTAATGCAACGAAGGAATATGGAGTGAATTCCTAAATTTTAAGCCGATTTTATTTTAAAAAACACATTACATCCTCATTGTAAAAAATAAAGAATTACATTTATAAACGTTCTTAAACATAAACTACCTCAAGTATAACCAACGTAGTTGCACAGTTCATGTGCTATATATGGCAACAATAAAGAGTTTAATTGTATTTTCTTTGCTTATTCCTTAATGAAATAATAATATAAAAAACTAAAATTAGATTAAAGAAACTGCCATGAATTCAACATAAGCTGCCAAAAAGTTAAACGATTCCAACAATTTCACGGTCGAAGCATATGGTCTCTGCCAAGTCGCCTGTCTTAATCTGAGTCAGTCTAGTTCACACGCCCTTCTACCCTCTGACCCTTGTAATTACCCTTCTTTTGCCAATTTCGTGACACAAGTAGCGATTTAAAGGCCACTGGTAACTGACCTGCATGTTTCACCTGCTTTAAGAATCGATAACTCTTTATTTTGCGTGTGTACTGTTTTCGTATGATTCCCACTGCAAACAGCGATTATTAATTTAAACAGCATTAACTAGACAATCTTTGTAATTATAAAGTGTGGTGTTTTCTTTGCTGTATGGACTGAATCATTAATTAATATTTAGACGAGTTTCGTCTTCATAGTGTTGATATTGTCCCTGTTTACAAAATCTACAGCTATTTGACACAGAGTTTTCAAACAAATTAAAAAATTGTGTTTTATTAATCAATACCAGATGTCTGAAGCATATATTCTTGTGTTTAATAAACTAATTGTCACATGCAAAAATCCTGTCCCGTGTAATTCCTAGTTATAATGGGGTAGCGGCTTGTAGGTAGCTAACAAATACCTACAATGATCGAACCATCTTTGAACCCACTTCTTTTCAGTTTGATAAAGAAATTCCCTAAATATTTGAGAAAAATTCTGTTATTATAATTAATTATTTGCGTAAAAGTAGTTTCTTAATGATCAATAAACAATTTGTTGGATTTTAATTTAATATTTGTGCCCTAAAATTTCACTACAGGCTGTAGGCACAGAGGGCACTAATTTTAATTTATCACATTCTGACATGTTTCAACAGTAGAAAATATTTAAATTATAGTGGCTCATGCATTACTTACATAATTCTTTACGAACATCATAAAAATACCTTCCACATTCCAACTGCGAAATATGTTAATAATGTTAAATTTTCTTGACAGCCACTGGTTCTGACTGGGTTGCGTGTTTCAGATTCCAACAGGCACTTAAGAATTATGGTGTCGCTGATGTGGACGTGTTCCAGACCGTTGATCTCTGGGAGAAGAAGGACATTTCCCAGGTCACCACTACCCTATTTGCCCTTGGAAGGACGGTACGTAGTGCCATAGTTGGTAGCAGCGACTCTTGGAAGTGGTCCATTTTGTTGGACAAGAAATTCCTATATGAGGATTTTCAAACATTTTCAAGTAACCAAACATTTAAAAAGAAAAAGAAATAATTGATTTGTTCAGACGTGAAGGTAACGTTAAAGTAGGCGTTGTATCTCTGACATGTCTTAGGGACGTAGAGGTTAAAATCCACGCATTATCATACGAATTAGACGGAATTGAGATATAATATAAATGTGTCGTCTCTTTCGGAATAATTAATCACTTCATCACATTCACTTATTCCTTATCTACTCCTAATATAATAGCCAATATCCGTCACCCTTAAAACTCTACTACCGCGTCTTTCGTGCGATGCAGAAAAAACTAAAATTAAATTCTGACATTCATTACAGTTTCCAATGTATATTGTTATTAACACGTTTTGAAGGATTTATTTTTATGGCATCTACAAAACAACGAGCCAAATTATGTTAGAATCCATTCTACACGTATATTTATCTGTCTCATACACGAAAGAGCATCTGGTTCTGACCACCGTCTACATGATTTGTCCAGGTCGCTATATTTGTAAGTGTAAGACGCAGCGCGCGCCTAAAATAATTTTAAGAGACGAACAGCTGGTTGCTATATTTTTCATGTTTCTGGTGACGTAACGTTGACAAGTTGGAAGGACATCCTTACAAAAATAATACGTCAGATAGGCAACTCGGGTCTTATAATAGTATCACAAAGGTGGAGAAGTGTGTTTCGCTTGAAATGTATATGCAAATTTAGTTGAAGCAGAAAGGAACTATTTGATATGTAATGTTAGGTTTAAGAATATAATTACGATTCTAAAGTAGAATAAAAATGACTAGATTTGATACATATTGTTTTATCTTTATAGAAAACACGATCTGAAAGATTCGCACCTTCATAACAGTTCGTGTTCTGATACACGAAAAAATATTTGTCTTATGATATTTGTAAATATAATTACAGCACATAAATCACACTAACTTTAATATCCTGGCTACAGATCATGGCCATTTGTAGCTACAATATCAAGAATGACTATGTTGGACGGTCGCCATGTTGTTATTATCAATTTTATAATAATTTCACTCCAAAATCTGTAAATTACTTTTTAAAACATCTGTGTTTTTGTAATCCACATTTCAAAATTTTTGTATATTATAAATTAAACCTATTGTTCTCACTTAGACACTTCGCGCGGCTGCCATGTCTGAGTGCTGTGTACAAGGAACTGAACATATGGCGAGGAACAAGCTTTTAATAGCGTGTTCTTCCTAAATAATTGAATAGATGTAGAAAATCTGGTTTTGAAATTTTTAGGGAAATGCACGCATACACAACATGCCATGACTCTTTGGTGATTTTGCCTAAATGATGAAATTATAATTAGCATGTTGCAGTTCAAAATAAAATAACTATGGTCGATAACTTTTTGAAAAAATATAACAAATGAACTGGCTTTTATGTTTGTATGTTGGAACGCATATCATGTTGTGATGTAATGTACGATGGCATAGCATCACACTGAATCTGGGCGTTAAAGGAGCTCACATAGCTTCGATTTCTTTGCGTTGATACCTCGTGGAATGACAAGACACAAAAGCAAATAGTTATTTTCCGTAAAAACAAAGCAGGTTGGGTTGTCCATTAAAAAACCAGGTGGTGTATCAAAAATTTCTGAGTAAAAACTTCTTTCAGAATAAAATTACTATGAAAGGAAAAGTTTCAGTAACACAACCTCGTCACACGATGGTCAAGGCGAGTTGAAACTCGTGCTGAAAACAGCAAACCAATGGAACAGTGCCAGTTTTGGGAATTTGAACGTGGAAGGAGATTTCTTTAACAGCAGACGAGCGTAACAATGTTTTAGATTGCGTCTGTTTTATGAAATAGCATTACGTTGGGCCATTTATAAATTGCGGCATTCTGTCTGCAGACATACACACACCCCGAATGGAAAGGACCTTATCTGGGGCCTAAGCCCTCTGAAGAATGCAAGAGAGACTTTACCGAGGAGCAGCTGAAGTCAGGACAAACCATCATCGGTCTCCAGGCCGGACAGAACAAGGGTGCCACCCAAGCCGGGCAAAACCTTGGCGCTGGACGCAAAATTTTGCTTGGAAAGTGAGCCAACAATTTCCCCGCCTCTTCATGATTACAGGAGCCGCTACACTAACAAACTCTCCTTCCCTTACACTTCCCGTTCACTGGGTGAACTTTTGTATATAAAAATCTAACAAATAAAATTTTATTAAAAATATACAGAAAATAAACTGTCTCTGTAACAAGCTACAGCATTAAAGTTAATTCTTCGCCCAAATGTATCCGTATAAATCTTATATTTTAATGTATGAGACTAAAGAGAAACAACCCTTATTGGATTGAAGATGAAATTTTGATGTATAACATTCTCATTTTCAACATACAATGTACTTAAACCTACTAAATCTCTTCAGAAATTGAGGCCTCTAATTTTGGCCCTCCAGAAAGATCGAAAATTTATATGTGTAATTGAACTAGTCATTATATTACATGTGTGTTGATGTCTAGAAGTAAGGTTTATGTCATATCGTGATGGTTTTATACTTGTGTCAAAAGAAGAAATAAAAAAAATATTATTTTGAATTGTTGCGTTGTTGTCAAATTCTTATTTCGCCTACCATTAATACCCCATTCATTTTATTTTACCACGGCGTAGTAAATGAACAGAAATAGAATTTTCTATTTTAAAAGTTTATCCATGATTTAATTAAACACATAAAATTTAATTTTTCCTTCAGCGCTCCAAAGCAGATGATAAAAGTGTATAAAAATAGCAAATTTATGCAAAACATAAAAATATAATATAAAAAATGTAACAAAACATAAAATTATGGAGAAATTAATTTTGCTGAGAAAGATAAAGAATTCTGATCACAAACAACAGTTTCTGGAAAGCAACCGGCCCCAAAACGGAATCGAATTTTATCTTGGCAGACACGTACGTATAAGAATAGGCAATATGTGGGCGGCTGCTATTTCTAGACGTCGCATTCAGCCATGTTGCACGACGAAGAGTTGAATGCGGGAGGGGGGGGCTTCTGACGGTAGCGTCGGCGAGAGGGGAGAGAGGGGAGGGGATGCTTCGCCGACCAAGGCTCATAAAAGGAGTGTTGCAACTGACGAACTTTGTGAGTAAAAGCGAGAAGTGAGAGCAAATGGCTTGGAAAAAAATACGGAGGAGAAGTTAGAATGCAGTAGATCAGATTTCTATACACGCGTCGCTAAGTTGGGGCGCCAAAAATAGACTTGTTTCTGAGTGACGCCATCATGGACTCTCTTCCAAACAGTAAAATGAAGGTCTCGATGGTACCATGATGCCATGCGCCGACACCACTTAATCATCAAGAGGCTCTAGGGCAGGAAAGGAGAACCAGATTCATCTCGGGAAATTACTGTGCCCGTCATCACTCTGTTGGAATATTTCTTGGACTTTTAGTATGGGCATCAACACTGAATGTGTATTTTAATTGGGACTATGTAGTCTTGTTATAAGAATAATTTACAAAATTTGAAGTATATTTTCACGCCCAATTAACATTTACTCTAAACTGCTTGAGTTCGACCACATGAAATGTTCTTTTCGTGTTTAATAAGTGTGAAGGAATCTCTAAGAATCCTACGTCTTTGACAGTTAATGTGTTGATGGTTGCAAACAATAATATATTAATCTATTACAACGCTGACTACAACAGATTATTTTATCAGAAATATCTGAAGTTCCTTTAGAATATTGAAATTTTAACCATGTTTATAAATTACAATTTTTCGCTTCAAACTTTGTATAATGCACTAGTAAAGTAACCAAAAGTATGTGAAGAAACAAAGGAATCATGATTTAAAATCTCGCAATAAGAGCTCGTGTTACAGAATATGTAATGTCAACAGCAGTGAGATGATACGTCAGTATGTGTCAGTAACTGAGAACATCTCCCACAAAACTTTCTACAAGGTGATCTTAAAAATTATTTATGGTATAAATACGATTCTCAGACCATCTTTTATAAATTTTGCGTATATTTGACGACTGTTTTCAAATTTACTAAAATATTTGTTGGTTTCAAAACCTGATTTTTACCAGTATTTTAAAATACAGTGACACATGAAAAGAACGTTTTACAAATTTTAACATGTGATCGAAGATCTTTCACAAACGAGTAGGCTAGTGGAGTAATTTTTTTCATCGTTATTATTGTTTCACAAACGAGTAGGCTAGTGGAGTAGTTTTTTTCATTGTTATTATTATTATTTATATTATTATTTTTGGCAAATTTCATGTCGACAATTATTTACACTCTACCTGCATAAATACCACTTATTTTTACACACCCTACTTAGGACACACCCCTTTGAAACGCTCTCACAGACGTTTTCAGAAAATTCTTTCAAATGATCACACACAAAAACAGAGGTAAGGCTCCCATGTTACGGTGTTAGCCCGGCTAACACTTTCAAACTGCATAAATACCACTTATTTTTACACAGCCTACTTAGGACACACCCCTTTTAAACACTCTCAGTAAGTCACAGACCCTCCGTTTCCAGAAAATTCTTTCCAATGATCACACACAAAAGCAGAGGTAAGGCTTCCATGTTACGGTGTTAGGCCGGCTAACACTTTCAATCAAAAGTTGTATTTAACGTGGAAGCGGTCATCTGACATAGCGTAACATTTTATTTGTTTATACTAAATATCAGTTACAGCAGTCAGGACAAACCTGTGCGTTCCACGTCGATTAAAAGTAAAATGCAAGGGTATCAGATAAGGGACAACAGATAAGGAAACATATACTATCCATCCTGCAAACATTATTTCCTAGTAGCAGAACTTTGTAGCTCGCTGTCTTAGTTGCTATACATAACGTTTTTAGTTTACATAGTACATGCGTTTGTTTACCTTTAACCCTTAGACCAGCTGCGCAGGCTAAATGCGCAGTAACAAGGCACTGTAGGGACATTATACACGCAGTTACGGACGACAAGCATGACATCACGCTGAGTAAGTATATAAAAATATGTTAATATTGAATATAGTGTAGATACAATCAATAGGTGTCCATAAATTGTGTGGAATTTATTGTCTGGATCAAAAGTCTCAAAGCTCATCTAACAATATTTAAAAGTCCAGTCTCTATCTCAAAGATCTTGATTGCTGTAAGAATCATACGACATTAATCAATACAGAGTGGGCAATACAGTTAATTTATGATCAGAGAAAAGTGGTACATATAGTTTAAAGTGTTAAACATGGGTATATAGTCTAAGGACTTCGTTGGTCCGGTGGCATGGGCGTGTTATCTCTAACTTTCTACTTTGGAAAGTTCGTCTGTAAAGAATTATCCCAACTCACCGGCCCTCGTTTCAGAGACGACGCCATAACATCCGACAAACAAATTGGAGCGATTTTATAATTCGTATTATAATACATCATATTTATTAGATATACAAAATTATAAGGGTCGAAACTGGTAAAACATGTTCACAGACCTAGAAAACGCCCTTCAACTCTTATCCAAAACTAAATCCCCATTACATCTGATTCGTGAGGTGACAGGCAGTTGGCTTCAGCGACTAAAAACGCGTGCATCTGCTACATTAATTAATCTTTTCTTAGATCTGGTGCAACTGATGTCATAATGATGGACTGTGATAAAATTAATCAGTTTCCTGAAGGGCGACTTACAAGAGTCGGGTATGATCCTATTTACACAGCGGCTGCTTTTATTTTATTTTATTTTATTTCATTTATTTACTGCGTTACCTATGTGCCAACCCTTCTGATTAAACAGCTGTTTTTAGGAGCGACTAGGAAATGAGCCAAAGAGCTGTTTCGACACAGAACGAAAACGCAGCGGTAAGGGCCAAAATCACTGCATCAGAATTTCAACATTACATTTCATAGTGTGAGTTTTATAATTTATAAACTCCCTCGCATATACATTTCATAGTGTGAGTTTTATAATTTGCAAACTCCCTCGCATAATATCAACCAACAACTATTGATAAACACCATAAAGAAGAGTCCATCTTGAAAAATTAGAATTCTTTCACCTGGTCATAAAATTCCTCAAATCAGGCAAAATAATATATTTGTTTAATTTAATCTTCACTGCTTCAGATAAGAAATGGAAAGACAAAATATTCTTTAACTGAATGGTAGTATACCCCGAATTTAATCTGTACTAATTCCGTTATATAGCGTAGTTTTGAAGATGAGCCTGCTAATTGGCAGACCAGACATCTCAAATCATTCACAGTTTATTCTTTCTAAAGGCAGACTGTTATTCTGACGAAACAAATATTTTAAAATCCATCAATCCAATTACGTCAATATTTTTTGCCAATTCCTTCCATATTTATCACGCGATCAATAACATTATTGACTTTGATTTGTGCCGCTGGAATTGTCAAGACGAAAAAAATTGCCCTGATTCAGTAAGTTGTTTGTTTTTATGTAGGCCTATTTTATTTTCCTGTTTCTTTTTAAGTTGTGTTTAGTTTTCAATTGGCCTTTACACCGTTAAGTCAGTAATCCGACGATGGTTATATTTTGGGTTGTAGCACCGTGTAGTCTGGTAGACGTTTACAACCCAGAAGACAGCCATCTTAAAAACTGAACTGAATTTCAGAAAAAGGGTAGTAAATATTGACAATGTATGGGCCACTTTGACTGAATGAAATACACAACCGAGGGGAGGGATATGAGTAGTATATCTGAAAGGCAGACAAACTAACTAATCGTGTTCCTACCGTCACTTGGTCACTTCGCATCGAACGAAGTGAAAGTATTACCAATGAACCAGTGATTGAAGTTGTGTTCATTACTCTAACCTAATATTGAATTATCGACGTGCAGACAATACTGGGGTTATTTTCCTTTCATTAACTGTGCGGTTATATAACATAAAAATGTTTAAAAATGTGAAAACCATCGGGTTTTTTAGTCAGCGCAGCCGTAGGGGCCCGACTTGACGGGAGGAGCGTTCGACTCTTCCGCCTGAGTCCGCGATTCAATATACCGCGTTGTGTTGTTGATGTATAAATTGCGGACTTGGAATGGACGTTACAGAAACTGTTATTAAACGTTTGTAGCCTAGAGATTGCACGCTGTGACGTCACCTGGCAACGCGAAAGAGAAAGAAGAAGAACGTTATGAAATGTGTGAGTAAATGCTTTATAAGCCCAGCATTATATCAAGTTACAGATGTTTTCTAATTAGGTTTCCTAAACTCCATGTGGTAGAGTAGTCTTCAGAAACTGATAGCGTCTCAGTTCGTCAAAATACCGACCTTTTATGGAATCTAAAGTTACATAACCTTGTTCACAAATCAGTCATTAAACTCTGTTGTCAACCAGATGAACCCAGTCTACACCTCCTCCAAATTTCTTCCAGGTCCATTGAACACGACCGGTAAAGTCCCATATATACACACACGTCAAACATATGATATGTTCCACTCAGATTTTCAGACTAAAATTGTGCACAAGAAATCTTCACAATAACATCTACTTTGCATCTGAAAAACTGATTACAAGTATGACCTTCTAAATTGTCGTTGAATTTCAACGGGCATTTTCTATTTATG